ATAGTTGACTCACACTGGCCTTCGGGTAAAGTTGGGGTATGCGTTTCTGTAATAGTTTAGTTTTTCTTTACTTAATTTTATTTTGTTTAGATTTCTTTACTTGTATGAATCGTGAAGCTAGTTCTTTTTATTTTTTATGTTTAATTTTCTATATTTTATTTGTAATATTGTTCGATTTGAGTTTTGTACTTTTCGTTTAAAAATTTATAATAAAAGATAAAGTCATAAGACTGTTTGCTCATAATTACCAAATATGGACTGTCCCAAATGTGTGACTATAAAGAAAGTTGACTGTATATTGAAAACTTAGCATCAATTAAGAAAGAAAAAGCTTTAATTAACCAGGAAAAATTACAAAAAATAAAGGAAGTTCTTCTTAACCTACAAATACTACATTATACATTTCTAATTTTCGTTACTGGGTTAAAAATAAATTTAAACTACAAAAAATTTCATCAGATTCCTATATTGTACTTCATACTCAAATTCAAAATAAAAAAAATGATGAAAAAACTAAAGTTGAACTTTCTGTATTAGTTGTAGAAAATATGTATGATGAATTTTGCAAAATACATTCCACAATTACTCAGTATGGGGGCCAAAAAGAAACTTGGAATCAAATCAGTAGTAAATAGGGATATTGTTAACAAGATCTTGTAAAAAATTTGTGACACAGTGTAATATTTGTATAGCGAAACTTACACGAATTCGACTATTGGCTGGAATACCAATTATAGAACAAAAATTCATGTCACGTTTGCAGGTAAATTTATTTATTTAGTATTATTTTTTACTAATTTATAATTATGTATTAAAGTAATTGTTTCTGATTGAAATAGATTGATTTAATTGACATGACTTTTAAGCAAAATAATGAATTTAAATACATTACTCATATACGTGACTAAAGATGTTAGCCGTAATTGATTGGCCGATGCCGTAATATTACAGCATACAACATTACAGTTATGACACTTTTCGTAATACTGTAATTAGGCCGTAATGCTGTAATTAGGCCGTAATGCTGTAATTAGGTCGTAATGCTATAATTAGGTCGCAATGCTATAATTAGGCTGTAATGTCGTAATTTTTAATGCTATAAAAATTTAAAATAAAAGAAATGAATTATAAAAGTAAATTACAATAGTTTATATGTCGTGTAATTTTAATTTTTAGGGGGTACATAAGACGTGTCGCATTTTTTTTGTATTTTGTATACGCGTTCATGTAAAGAAAAAAATTATATAATGAACTAAAATTTCTAGGGTAAAGCTCTGAACGGTTCGGGTTAAACCGGGGAACCAATCTGAAACCGGCTCAAAATTTGGTTCAGTTCTTACGGATTTCAGCTCTAATCCGAACCGTCTATAATCCAGACCAAACCGACCCATTCGGAGCTTTACCCTAGGGGTGGGAAATATTAAGTTTTTTTCAAAAAATTTATATTAAATTAGCATAATATCTTTAATAATTAGATGATTTTATGCATAATTTACATATAAACTTTTTTACAAAAAAAAAAATTATTATTATTATTATTTTTGATATTATTTACCCCTTAAAATTGAAATTACATGGTCACATATTTCCTAAAATCCGAAATCCGAAATCCGAAATATAATTCCGGCCGAAATTAACGTAATTTCACTTAAACATGTAATTTTAGCCGAAAATCATAATTCAGCCAAAACGGGAATGCAGATCTTTCCTTTTTTTGGCAATAGCCGTTCCACAAAAATTGATTTTAGTGGGAACGACACTGGAATTTTGTGTAACAACACTTTCCTTTTTAGGATATTTGTTAATTTCTGCTAAAATTAAGTGCATAATTCTGGCCGAAATTACATACGTAATTTCGGAATTACGGCATTACGGATTAGTTACGGCATTAAGACCTAATTACAGTATTACGACCTAATTATGGCATTACAACCTAATTACAGCATTACAACTTTTGCTTTTTAATGTAGATAGGTTGCAACCTATTACATACGACACTGTGTCTTAATATTACAGTTACGGCTAACATCTTTATACGTGACCATTTTACAAAATATTCATGAGCTTGTGCACTTACTTCAAAACGTGCAATAGAAGTTGCTGCTTTTTTATTTGATATTTTTACTACATTTGGACCACCTTTAATTTTTCAGTCGGATAATAGCAAAGAATTTGTTTCTTCAATAATTATTGAATTAGTTAATTTATGGCCTACAATTCAAATTATTAATGGAAGATCAAGACATCCTGCAAGTCAAAGTCTAGTTGAACAAGCAAATAGAATTCTTGAAACTAAATTAGGAAAATGGATGGAAGATAATAATTGTTAAGATTGGTCATTTGATTTAAAATTTGTAATTTATGCAATGAATAATTCAGTTTGTAGAGCACATAATAAAAAACCATATGAGCTTGTATTTGGTGGAACTCCACATAGATATTCTGCCATGCTTGATCAGTTATTCCAAAATAATATTTTTTCTGAAGATGAAATTCCAAATGAATTTGAAGGAAGTATTCAAGAATCTATAAATAACTTAGATAATTTGATTGACAATACCACTTATGAAATTAATTCAACAAACTTAAATTAAGAATTAAATTTAGATGAAGATGCAGTTAATAATTTTTTTATGTTTAAATAGTTATTTTGCAGACAAGTTTTTATTATCTTAAAAAATTATATAATAAAAAATACTAATATTATTTAATACAATTTCATTTAAAGCATTCTTTACAATTACTGACAAATCAATTAACAGTAGGACATCAAGTATTACAAAACTTTGCTTATCAAAATTTAAAGACTTATATCATAAAAAAGATTTCTACAATGATTGTAAAATCAAAGCATAAGCTAAAATATGAGATTGGAAAGTATGTAAAGATTCTTATTTCAAAAATTGACCGATTTGGTACAGATCAACCTGTACTTCCATGCAAAGTCATAGAGAAGTTAAATTATAATGATATATTCAAATATTATCTTGAATGTATTAGTGAAATATTGAATAATTTATATTATGCAGATGAATTAAATTCATTTAAAGTGAAAGAATATCCAGAGTTAGATCATATTCCAACAGATAATATATCTGTTAAAGAAGCTGCATGAAATCAGAATTCTAGTACTGATATGCTTACAGAAAGTATGTGCAAATGCAAAATTAATAATATGTACCAGATAAATTTATTACATTACTTTAAAATTTACATATAATTACAAAGATTTTTAAAATTGCTAATATTATAAATTTTAAAGTATGTATTTTAATTTGACGCACAAATAATAAAATATGCATTTCAATTTAACACACAAATGATAAATTGATTTGACTCACATCAGATTCAAATTTTAATCTGATATAAGTCAATTTTAAATTTACGCCTATTCTAATTTGACATACAACATATATACTAAACTTATAAAAATAATAAAAAAATTAAAAGACTATTTCTCCAAAAAAAAAAGTTAACCTGTCATTTAAATAATTATACTACTATTACATAACTAAAAGTTTTAGGTGACTGTCAAAATTTACCTAAAAATTTATCTAATAGCCTCTCCAATGAAATGCTAAATCATTTCATTTATTTCAATTAATTTTACTAAAGTGTTCTATTTTATCGTACTTTTTATCATACTTTTTACTATTCAACTTCATTTTTTATTTATCTTTATTATTAATATTACATTTTTTCCCTCTATTTGCAGTTCATTTTTATTAAAGCTCCGAATGGGTCAGTTTGGTCCGGATTATAGACAGTTCGGATTAGAGCCGAAATCCGTAAGAACCGAACCGAAAAACTGGCGGTTCAGTTTAGTTTAATCCGATTTTTATAAAAATGCGAAAAATCGAATAGCCGGCCATCTAGTGATCGTATAAAGTCGAACCATATATCATTGGATTCGTCTCGACGAGACGCGTCGAATGGTGGTAAGATCATGTCTCTAGCATCGATAGATCACACGTTAACTCATGCTAAATGATTTATCAATAATTGGAATTAGCAAGCTATCTATTGGTGCTAGAGACATGATCTTAGCACCATTCGACGCGTCTCAGTGAGACGAATCCAATGAATATATATTTGTCCGTATACGACCACTAAATGGCGAATAATATCAAGTTTCGCATTTTTTTAAAATTTTCGAGCGTTAAAAATTAAAAATTCCGATACATGAATTTATTCGTCGTCCAATGGTCGTACAAATATGAATTAGCACTCATTGGATTCGTCTCGATGAGACGAGTCGAATGGTGGTGAGATCATGTCTCTAGCATTAATAGATCGTAAGTTAATTCACGCTAAATAATTTATAAAAAATTGGCATTAGCAAGCTATCTATCGATGCTAGAGACGTGATCTTACCACCATTAGACTCGTCTCATCAAGACGAATCCAATGAGTCCTAATTCATATTTGTACGACCATTGGATGACGAATAAATTCATGTATCGGAATTTTTAATTTTTAACGCTCAAAAATTTTAAAAAAATGCGAAACTTGATATTATTCGCCATCTAGTGGTCGTACACGGACGAATTTATATTCATTGGATTCGTCTCACTGAGACGCGTCGAATGGTGCTAAGATCGTGTCTCTAGCACCGATAGATAGCTTGCTAATTCCAATTATTGATAAATCATTTAGCGTGGGTTAACGTGTGTTCTATCGATGCTAGAGACATGATCTTACCGNCGTCTCAGTGAGACGAATCCAATGAATATATATTTGTCCGTATACGACCACTAAATGGCGAATAATATCAAGTTTCGCATTTTTTTAAAATTTTCGAGCGTTAAAAATTAAAAATTCCGATACATGAATTTATTCGTCGTCCAATGGTCGTACAAATATGAATTAGCACTCATTGGATTCGTCTCGATGAGACGAGTCGAATGGTGGTGAGATCATGTCTCTAGCATTAATAGATCGTAAGTTAATTCACGCTAAATAATTTATAAAAAATTGGCATTAGCAAGCTATCTATCGATGCTAGAGACGTGATCTTACCACCATTAGACTCGTCTCATCAAGACGAATCCAATGAGTCCTAATTCATATTTGTACGACCATTGGATGACGAATAAATTCATGTATCGGAATTTTTAATTTTTAACGCTCAAAAATTTTAAAAAAATGCGAAACTTGATATTATTCGCCATCTAGTGGTCGTACACGGACGAATTTATATTCATTGGATTCGTCTCACTGAGACGCGTCGAATGGTGCTAAGATCGTGTCTCTAGCACCGATAGATAGCTTGCTAATTCCAATTATTGATAAATCATTTAGCGTGGGTTAACGTGTGTTCTATCGATGCTAGAGACATGATCTTACCGCCATTCGACGCGTCTCGTCGAGAGGAATCCAATGATATATGGCTCGACTTTGTACGATCACTAGATGGCCGGCTATTCGATTTTTCGCATTTTTATAAAAAATCAGATTAAACCGAACCGAACCGCCAGTTTTTTGGTTCTAATACCCGAACCGAACTGAACCGAATTTTGAGCCGGTTTTGGATCGGTTCCCCGGTTTAGCCCGAACCGTTCGGAGCTTTAATTTTTATACTTCTACTTTATGCTATAAATAGCATGCATATATAAATCTTTCTTTATTAGCTGTATATATATCACTGGTCAGAATAGTCCATTTCATCCAAATTTCAAATTGACGAATGTTAGATAAAAGTTGTTCTAATTTTAACCGATCATTGCCAAAAAAATTTTTAAAATTAAAATGGACGATTTGCACAGTTTGCCTACCACTTGGCAATTACAAATCAGCAAAAATTCATTAAAAAATTGGAAATAAACTATTTGTCAACCTTTACTAGACATTCGTCCAAATTTCAAATTGCTGAATGTTGGACGAAATTAAGTCTAATTTTGTCTAATTGTTAATGATTTTTATGTATTTAGCTTATATTTAATTTTGTAATAACAATCAATTGATTATATTTTATTATTTCGCTTTATTAAAATTACATATTAAAAATTATCATATTAAATATCTAATATCTACAGTATCTGTCTATTTACACCTACCATCCACCATTCACTATCTACCATTTACCATTTACCATTTACCATTCACCATCCATTGTGTCAACTATTGTCAACCATCATTAACCATCATCCACATTATCTACATCTTGTCTACTACCCATCATCTACCATCCATCGTCCACCATCATTCACCATTATCCACTTATCCAAAATTATTCACGTACATCCAAAGACCAAGCCGAAATCTACAAAATAGAAAAAAAATTAAAATAAAATTAAATAAATACTTGTTTTAAAAAAAAGTTTTGAAGTTTTAATTTCAAAATTTACCCATATATCCAAACCTAAGAACTGAAAGCCGAAATCTACAAAATTGAAGATAAAAAATTTAAAGATATTAAAAAAAATACTTTTTTAAAAGAAAGTTTCAAAGTTTTAACTTCAAAACTTATCCATATATCCAACGCCCAATAACCAAAAGCTGAAATCTACAAAATTGAAGATTAAAAAATTTAAAAATATTAAAAAAAATATTTTTTTAAAAAAAAGGTTTGAAGTTTTTACTTCGAAACTTTATATATCCAAAATCTAAGAACTGAAAGCCGAAATCTATAAAATAGAAAAAAGAAAAAATTAAAAAAAAATAATTTTTTTTAAAAAAAGTTTTGAAGTTTTTACTTCAAAACTCATCTATATATTCAATGCCCAACCGAAAGTTGAAACCTACAAAATAGAAAAAAAAAATTAAAATAAAATTAAAAAATTACTTTTTTAAAAAAAAATTTCAAAGTTTTCACTTCAAAACTTACCTATATATCCAAAATCCAAGAACTGAAAGCTGAAATCTACAAAATAGAAAAAAGAAAAAATTAAAAAAAACTTGTTTTAAAAAAAAGTTTCA